TCCTCTCCCTGTGTCCCATCCCTGTGTCCCATTCCTGTGTCCTCTCCTCGTGTCCCATCCCTGTGCCCCATCCCTGTGTCCCATCCCTGTGTCCTCTCCCTGTGTCCCATCCCTGTGTCCCATTCCTGTGCCCCATTCCTGTGTCCTTACCCCTGTGCCCCATCCCTATGTCCCATCCCCATGCCCCATCATCCCCCATGCCCCATCCCCATCCCTGTGTTCCATCCCATGCCCCATCCCTGTGTCACATCCCCATTTCCCATCCCTATCCCTTCCCTCTCGGGAAGGCTGTTTCCAACTGGGAATGCCGCTCATCCGCAGTGCCACGAGCCCAGAACCAGCTCTGGCAGACCTGGAAAGCAGCAGCCGGGGGTTTCCTGGCAGTTTTCCCGTGCATCCACCTGTGTCTGTTCCCCTCCGAGGTGCCAGGATGCTTCCTGGGATGCTTCCAGGAATGCTCCTTTTGGGGTTACCAGTAGCAGCACTCTCAGTGCCAGCCCTGCGAGAGCTCAGACCTGGGAAAAAACAAGGGATGCGTTGGACCAGGGAAAACATTCCTGGAGGAACAGGACTTTGGCTGATTTTTGGAATGATGGACAATTTTTCCTGCGTGTTCCTGGAGCTTGGGAGCTCTGGGAGAGCCTGGCACGGCAGGGCCTCTCCGGAGGGGTTTTTGGGAAGATCCCACTTTCTGGTGCGGCCGGGGATGGGGACAGAGGGGATTCATCCCTGGGGAAGCTGCGCCGTGCCGGGAGCAGGGATCCTGTGCCTTGGAATGTGCCGGTGCCGGGGTGGCTTTGCAGGGCTCCGGCTCTGGAGCGTCACGGGAACGGGCTGCGTCATCCGCTGCTTCCACGGGTGGAACTGGGGAGGATTTGGCTGCTGGGGAGGATTTGGCTGCTCGGAGCCCAACTGGGAGAGATGTTTTCCCGCCTGTGCTGTGCTTGGAATCAGCGGCGCGTGCGGCTGCAGCGGAGCAGGGGGGGAGCTGCAGTGGGCTGGGCTGGCTCCCTGACAGCAGGGGAGGGGGAAGAGGCAAATGGGATCATTCCCGGTGTAATGATCCGAAATTCAGGGATGTTTCCTCTCCCTGCACTTCTCTCCCTCCTCCCGACGCTTCCCAGCCAGGCACTTCCATGGTTACCCCGCCCCGGAGAGGTCGATCCTGCCCCGGGGCTCAGCTCGGGGGGCTCCGTGGCCCCTCCGGCTGCTCCTGGAGCCGGAGGCAGGAGGGAGTTCGGAGCTCCGGGATCCGCCGGCTCCGCTCCCGGCGATGCTGGAGGCGCGGGGGGCTCCGTGGGGGCTGTGGTGGAGCATCCCCCTACCTCAGCCCGACCTTTTCCAGGAGGGATGATGGGAGGATGCAGAGCTGCAGGGGGTTAGGGGAGAGCTCGGTGGGGCCGGCTCCTGCTTGCCATTCCCAGGAAAGCCCCCTCCCTGCAGCAGGATGTGTGGGGAGCCTGGGATGAGCCTCGGGAGGGAAACTGCTGCTCCAGAGGGAAAACATGTCCCCGGATCTGCCCCCCCGAGGGTCCTGCTGCCCCTGCTGTGCCTCCTGCATCCTCTCATCCCACCGGGATTCGTGTCACATTCCCAGTGAGGTTTTCCCATCGTGTGTCCCCCAGACTCCTGATCCCCACCCGTGTTCCCAGATTGCCCCCCCCCCCCCCCCGCAGGTCTCCGGGAACCTCTTCCCGGCCTCGGAGGCAGACATGGGGCACCCACCCTCCCCTAACCCCCCCGGCCCCCCCCCCTGTTCCTGCCACCCGGCACGAGCTGCCAGGGAGGTAAAAATACTCCCTGGAGCGGGTGACGGCGCCGGGCCGGGAGATCCGCGGGCGTTCCGGGTATTTATAGCCCGGCAGGTCTGGGCTGCCACCCACCCCCCATCTGCGCCCACCCGGGCCCCCCCCGGGCCCCCCCGTGTCCCCGCGGGAGGGGGTGGGCCCTTCCAAGCCCCTGGACAGGTGGGAATACCGAGGGATGTCACTGGTACGTCCCAGAGCCCCCCCTGCCCCAGCCCAGGGCACCCAAAGGTGGGGCTGCCCCCTCTGTGCCCCCCGGGCCAGTCCCTCCCAGGGGCATGAGCCCCTCCCTTCCAGTCCTTCCCTGGAGGGGGGTGCACCCCAACCCCTGTCCCACATCCAGTGGGGTCACATCCACCTCTGCTGTGGGGTGCCGAGGCTGGAGCAGGGATCCAGTCCCCCCAGCCCAAACTGGGACTGAACTGGGACACCACACCACGGGCTGGGGGGCACTGGGGGGCTCTAGGGGTGTCCCCACCTCATTGGGACCAACTGGGGACAATGTGGGGACCATGTGCTGGGAACCACCTCCTTGGGAATCTGATGCTGGGGACACCTTGGTGGGGGCCACATCTTGGGGATCCCAGGGACCCCAGCGAGGGGCTGGCAGATCTGGGGGAGCCCCAGTGATTCCAGGGACCCCCATTCTGGGCTGGTGAGTCCGGAGGAGCTTCAGGATTCCAGGAACCCCCATGGGGGCTGGTGGGTCCTGAGGAGCCCCAGGATTCCAGGGACTGTGATTCTGGGCTGGCTGGTCCCGGGGAGCCCCAGGATTCCAGGGACTGTGATTCTGGGCTGGCTGGTTCCGGGGAGCCCCAGGATTCCAGGATCCCAAGTGTGGGCCGGGTGTGCCGGGGCCGGGTGGGTGACATTGAGTGCGGTGGCTGCACGGAGGCTGCACAAAGCCAGGGCTCCGTGTGGTGCTGCTCCTCCTGGGGCTGGATGTGCTCCCGGGAGCGGAGCTGGCGGAGTGATTTAATCCACCCTGACTGCAGCTGACCTTGGAAACCCGCCCAGGCACGGCCGGCACCGACAGCGGCTGCACTGGGGGAACAGGGCCCGGGGGGGTCTCAGGGGTGCAGGGGGGACCCACCCCGGCCCCGACCACCCCCTCCTGCCCTCCTGACCCCTCTGTGGCCACATCACCCTCAGCACCCGGGAATTCTTTGCTTTATGTCCCCCCATGCTGAAACTGTGGGACTGTGGGGTGACGGTGACAGTGATGGTGACAATAAAGGTGACAGTGATGGTGACGGTGACAGTGGCACATCTGGTGTTGGATGGACCCGACTCTGTGGTTGGGTGCTCCTGGGTGTGGTCTCTGCACCCCCAGCTCCTTTTGCAGCTTTCCAACCGCTTTCCCAGCCTGGAGTGTTCCATGGGGTTGGTGTGACCCAAGGGTGGGACACGGCACATCGTGGACTCATGGAATGGTTTGGGTGGGAAGGGATCCTCAAGGTCATCCACTCCCACCCCTACTATGGACAGGGACACCTTCCACTATCCCAGGTTGCTCCAAGCCCCGTCCAACCTGCCCTTGGACACTTCCAGGGATCCAGAGGCAGCCACAGCTTCCCTGGGCCGCCTGTCCCAGTGCTCCACTTGACCTTGTTGAACCTCATCCCACTGATCTTGTCCCACGGGTCCGGCCTGTCCAGATGAGTCTGTGGAGCCTTCCTGCCCCTGGGCACATCCAGCACCAACCGACCCTTGGCAGTGGAATGAACAGGACATGAGACATGACACGGCACATCCCTGCTGTGGGCTGAGGGCTGACCCCATCCCATCCCCACCCCAAGCCATCCCCATCCCATCCCATCCCATCCCATCCCCATCCCAAACCATCCCCATCCCCATCCCCATCCCCATCCCAAACCATCCCCATCCCATCCCATCCCATCCCCATGCCCATCCCCATCGCCATCCCCATCCCCATCCCATCCCATCCCATCCCATCCCCATGCCATGCCATCCCTATGCCATGCCATCCCATGCCATCCCCATCCCCATCCCAATCCCTCCTTGCTCCTCCCCTCCCGGTGTCAATCCAGGATCCCCCCCAAGCCATAGGATCCCCCGTCCCCTCTCCCGAGCCAGGTGTTTCCCGTGCCAGCCGCTCCTGAGCCAGACACCGTGAGAGCCCCGGAGCGGCTGAATTCCCAACCTGCCTCTCGGAGTAATCGGCGTCTCTTTTTCCCCTCCAGTGGTTCTGACACGAGCTTTGCTGCGAGGAATCGCTTTAACCGCTCCCCTTAATTGGCTCTTTCCTGCCGGAGCCCCCTCTCCGCTGCGGAAAAGCCTCGGCTCCGGCGCCCTGCCAGCGCTCCGACCTTTTCTGCGTCTTTATGTTCGTTTAATAAGTGATTTTCGGGATGAGCCGAGGCTTTGAAGGGGGTTAGGGACACTCCTGCCTCGCCTGTCTGGCTCCCTTTGGCTCAAGCTGCCGGAGCGAGCGCCGGCCGTGCGGAACGGGCACGGTGCCGTGCCTGGAAAAAAATCCATAGTGCCCAAATCCAGCCCCGGGGCGGCGGGAGGCAGCTCCAGGATGTCCCCAGGGATCGCTGGGTCACCCCTGTGTCACCCCTGTGTCACCTCATGTCCCCAGACCAAGGCAGCCGCAGCCTCCTCCCGCTGACCAGGGAGGATGGAGCTTCCCTGGGGAGGCAGAGCTGTGGGATTGGGTGGGACTGGCATGGAAATGGTGCCGTCGGATGTGGGGTGTGGTGCTGGGAGCTGCTGAGGAGGTGATGGCCAGGAGGTGCTGGAGAAGGGAAGGCTCTAAGGAGACCTTCCAGTGCCTAAAGGGGCTCCAAGAGAGCTGGAGAGGGACTTGGACAAGGCATGGAGAGACAGGACACAGGGAATGGCTTCCCAGTGTCAGAGGGCAGGGAGAGATGGGAGACTGGGAAGGAATTCCTGACTGGGAGGGTGGGAGGCCCTGGTCCAGGTTTCCCAGAGAAGCTGTGGCTACCCCTGGATCCCTGGAAGTGTCCAAGGCCAGGTTGGATGGGGCTTGGAGCAACCTGGGCTGGTGGAAGGTGTCCCTGCCCATGGCAGGAGTGGCACTGGATGGGCTTTAAGGTCCCTTCCCACCCAAACCATTCCATGATTCCATGATCCCTGCACTCCCAGCTCATCCCAAGCCCCAGCTCAGCAGGATCTGCCCCCCAGAGAGGTCCCCAGGACCTGCTGTTCCTCCTGTCCCTGTCTGGGGACACTGGAGTGGTGGCAGTGCTTGTCCCGAGCCCTCCACGGGGACACCGGGCAGTGCCAGTGCCTGTGCCAGGATCCCAGGCAGGGCTTGTCCTCCCTGCAGGTTTAATGTCCCTGGAAGCTCCATCAGTCCCAACAGCCACCAGCAAACAGCTCTGTGCCCTGGGCAGGGGGAGGTGGAGGGGCTGGCTGGCTGATTCCAGGGAATTCGAACACAGGGAGGATGAGGGGCTGGCTGGCTGATTCCAGGGAATTCGAACACAGGGAGGATGAGGGGCTGGCTGGCTGATTCCAGGGGGTTTGGGCACAGGGGGGAAGGGGTGATCCGGCCTCCCTGACGTGTCCCTGTGGTTCCAGGTGAACGTGTCCGTGGATTACATCCGCCCTGCCAGCAGTGCCACCGAGACCGTGCCCGCCTTCTCCGAGCGCACCTGTGCCACCGTGTCCATCGGCGGAATGTGAGTGCAGCCCTGGCATTCCCACCCCATATTCCCACCCCATATTCCCACCCTGCATTCCCACCCTGCATTCCCACCCTGCATTCCCGCCTGGCACTCCTTGGACAGTGGGGTCAGAGGTGCCCATGGGGATGGAGGGTGGCTCGTCCCTGCCCCACTCCCCACCTGGTTGGGGACAAGCACCCCCCGCCTGCATCCCAGCGTCAGGATTCTGTGGGATACGGTGGGATGCTGCTGCCTGGCACCTCCCAGACCTGCCCCTCCCCCAACTCCAGCGGTTTTGGGGGTGCTGGGATGAGGGACCATTCCAGCTGCCTCCGGGGTGGCTTTGTAGGAGCCATCTCTGCTGTGTATCCTGGGATGTCTGTGCTTCCCAAGGCACATCACCTCCCTGATTTCCCTCCTCTGTGAGAAGGTTCAGGAGTGTGGGGTGTTCAGGAGTGTGGGGTGTTCAGGAGTGTGGGGTGTTCAGGAATGTGAGGTGTTCAGGAGTGTGGGGTGTTTGGGAATCTGGGGTGTTCTGGAGCAGTCCTCCCTTGTCCATAAGTTTTGGCTTTCACCCCCTCAGGACACAGGGTGCCGGGTCCCTCTGGCACATCCCTATGGACCAGCCATGGCTCCAGCCCATCCCTATGGAGCAGCCATTGCTCCAGCCCATCCCTATGGACCAGCCATGGCTCCAGCCCATCCCTATGGAGCAGCCATTGCTCCAGCCCATCCCTATGGACCAACCATGGCTCCAGCCCATCCCTATGGAGCAGCCATGGCTCCAGCCCATCCCTATGGAGCAACCATGGCTCCAACCCATCCCTATGGAGCAGCCATGGCTCCAGCACATCCCTATGGAGCAACCATGGCTCCAGCCCATCCCTATGGAGCAGCCATGGCTCCAGCACATCCCTGTGGAGCAACCATGGCTCCAACCCATCCCTATGGAGCAGCCATGGCTCCAGCCCATCCCTATGGAACAGCCGTGGCTCCAGCCCATCCCTATGGAGCAACCATGGCTCCAGCCCATCCCTCCGGAGCGACCGTGGCTCCTCTGGCAGCGGCTCCGGGAGCTGCGTAGGGAGGATTTGTCATAGGCCCTTGGCTTGCTTTCCTGCTTTTTTTTCCCGGTAGCAGCTATTTTGGAAAGCGCCCAAAGCGCTGCAGCGCTGCCTTTTCCTTCCTTATTCCAGGGGCTGCGAGAGCTGCAATTCCCTTCCCTTAATCCAGGGCCTGGAAAAGCTGCACCTTCCTTAGTCCAAGGGCTGGGAGAGCTGCAATTCCCTTCCCTTAACCCAAAACCTGGGAGAGGTGTGTTTTCCTCCCCCTGATCCAAAGACTGGGAGAGCCCTGGCCTCCCAGCAGCTGTGGTGCTGCATCCTGGGATGCTCCCGGCCTGTGCCATTCCCGGTGTCTGGGGCTGCATCCCGGGATGCCGGGGGTGGAACAGAGCGGGGTCTGTGTCCCCAGGCCCGTGCCAGGCTGGGATGGAGCAGGGAATAAAGCCTGGCTTGTCCGCCTGGAGTGTCCGCCCGGCATCTGGGCTGGGCTGAGCCTGCTTGGAATTCCGGGCACGGCAGTGGCACTGGGGTGGGAGCCAGGGCAGGAGCTGCAGCCCCCGCTCCAGCTCCAGGCTCCGGGAACTGGGGGGGCTGAAGCACAAACCTGCCTTCTCCTGCCCTATCCCTGCCTGGATCCTTGTCCATATCCCTGCCTGGATCCTTGTCC